GGGAGAGAAGGGCACTACTGGGGGACCTAGTCAAGCTATGGGCAGGCCTAGCAGGTATTCGACAGTGTCCATGCCTGGCAGCTAATGTACATGCACGTCCCATGAAATGCAGGAAGTGCGCGGGACGGACCACAGAATTCACCCCGAAGATTGGTCTAGTTCAGAATCCCCAGCAAGGATGTAAGTCTATGCCCCGGGGCCCTTAGTAAGTTCCTCGCAAACCTGCAACTAGCCACAAGGTGCGTCTGCGCACCCCTTTACGTGCATTTAACACAAAGTGATTTGCTGTAGCACAGGTGTCTATTCACATGCCCTGATGTTTGAGAACCACATTTGAGAACACAGCGATCAGTGAACTTCAGAAACTTGTAATGCGCAACAGTTGCGCTATGTCCACTAGCCATGTGAAAACCAAGTTGATGCCTCATGGCCATTCATCAGTGGTTTCTATAATTGTAGTAGCGCTTGCTTCAACCCTACCTGTCTCATGAGGTCTATTTTTCCTGCTACCCTTCTGCCTTCCTGCCCCCTTTTTCTTGGCCCACCAAAAAAACACAGCAAATATAATTATGTCAGAGTCTGTTTCATACGTTGCCTACCCGAATTAAGACATAAAACCGGAGACTTGGAGACCCCAACCTAACGCAACCACACCCGGGGGGGGTCGGGTGGGGGAGTTCCGGGTCCAGGCCTCGAGGTCCAAGTGCCGTCCGTTGGGCGACACCTTCAGCGCCAGCACCACCTGGACGGCGAGAAACGGCGACTGCGGATGGGTCCAAAACTGGTGGGGCCAAGCTCCGGCAGTTTTTCTTGATTGGCTTCCTCTCAGTTTGTCGGGTTCGAAAACCCAAAAATGAGGGGAAGGGGGGGGGGGGGGATGGGGGAGAGAGATGGGTTCAGCGAATTGCATTGCTACTATCCTTGCACTGGGTTCGCTGAAAACCAAACAGTTCCACCAGAGTCAGAGCCAGAGCCGTCACACAAACCGGCTTGTATGCACCTAAAAGAAAACCGAAGGCTGAGGCGAAACGGATCCAACTGCAGCTTCCCTCTAGTTGGTTTGGATGGCTTGGAGGCTAGCTGGTTTTCCCATCAACAGAATCTGGGCTTCCGAAGTTCCAGCCCCCAAACCACCCATGATCATCATGATGTTAGGATAACCTGATCTTCTGGAACAGAACCAAAAGACACAAAATAATGCACATGGCGCAAGCATTCGCAAGACTACATCAAGAAGCTGTGGGAGGAAGCGCAAAGTGGAGCAAGGATCTTGAGCAACGGGTCCTGACAAACGGTTCTCCGTACAAGACTAGAGGTTCCTGTCGCTGTGGGTTATCATTGCGATGCTTGGGACAGACCTGGCATGTCTGCCCCCAAACCCTCCAGAAGATCACTCCGTAGCCTGGGGTTCAATGCCATAAAAAATTATTGACACCCGATTCCCTTCCTCCTTCAAGCGCGGGATGATTCATAGCACGATTCCTGGCACTAACATACTTTCTGCCACAAGGCCTTCCCCCTGCCCAATTCTGTTCTTTTCCCCAAATAGCTGAAAGCTGTAAGCTACAGGGTTTGAGATTGACTGCAGGGTGCTATGGTGCATGAGTCTGGGGTGCTGGTGCAGGTGCTGTCTTGGGATGCCGTTTCTGCTCTGAGATGCCGGCGACGGTCCGGCATTGCGAGATGGACGGCCGGGCCCCGGGTGCTGTTTGGGGCCCACGGCGCCCTGGCGCCCCTGGTGCTGTTAGTGCTGCTGTGCCATCCTCCACCCCCCCCCCCCCTCCCTCCCTGCCTGGTGATCCTCGTAGAGTATGCCCTGCGGCTTCCCCAGAAGCTCGCGGAAATGCGCCGCCGCCTTCAGCGCCAGGTCGTGCCTAGTGCTCAAAAGGCGCCGGCTGGGCTATGGTCTCTGGCCATCCAACATGAGGCGTCCAAAGCCGAAGCAAGTCCCATCGACAGGTCGGTGAAACGCGGTGAACTTGCTGAGAGAGGGCCACGGAAAGAGCTCAGGTCATCTCTCTGCCACCCACAAACACTGGAATATGCTGGAAGCAAGAAAAGTACAGCTTGCCAAATGGGGGGATGATAGCTCCCACACTTGCCTGCTTCGTCAGAAGGACAGTGTCTTCTCAACCAATCCGCGCACGACTCCCGTCCCTTGAGGCAACCACGAGGGCGGCAATCGCCTGCAAAAGCGGCAATCGTAGCAGTACAGAAGAGCCCTTCAGTTGCTTCCTTCGGAGGCTCTCACTACTCAAACTCAGAAAGGAGCGGGTCCAAGGGACTCTGATAGAAAGGAACTCGCACGGCGTCAAGCGTTTTGGAAGCTGCCTTTGGCAATGCTGCTCAGATTCCGAGGTCTTTTGCCTTGAATGCCCCGCAGCGCAGTACCAGCGAAGCTGTGATGATAAAACAGAGTTGATCTAACCCTACATGAGTTGGGATCATTCTCCAACGAAACTCAAGATGTTTGGTGCTCAGTAGGGAATGAGGGAATGAATCCAGGGGTCCCTTAAAGGGATGGTTTATGTACGAGGGTGCATTCTATTTCTGATTCCCTGCATCTCTCGCACAGCCCCTGGAATTTAAACGCTACTGCCTTGGGACCGGCGACTGGCGGCAAGCCGCTTTCGCTACCGTGATGGGACGCGTTCCCATGCTGCGCACGTCTCGCAAGAAGGCCTACCCACCAGCAAAATGCCAAGGCCACCAACACAAAGTAGCAAACCAGGCCATGCAACTGGCAAAACTTGCAACACTTTACGTCAAAACACATCTCAAGCAAAACATAGTCATTCAAGACGAAGAGAAAACACCAAGCAGTGCGCTGCTATCATTTTGAGGCCCCCGTCCTCACCAGCGCCCCCAGAGGCTGCCAAATCCGCGGTGTCTGGGCCCAGGTCTGGCAAAAATGCGTTGGCAATGTTGGCAGGAAAAGACTTACGACAATAGTTGTCTGCGACCCGCATCAGCAAGTGCCTCAAACGAGGAAATACCTCCTCCTTACTCCGCAGTTGCTTGCTTCCCCGCTGCCGCAACTCACTTTGTCAAACAACCTAGGTCTATACCTGCCAAAGACTCTTCCCCTTAGAAACCGCACCTTGCTGTTGTGCCTCCACTCATCAGCAACTCTTCTCTCAAGCCCATTACTTGATTCACTCACGGGTGTGTGAACATAGGGGACCTCCCAACATAACTTCGGTTTCACCTCTGGTTTCCCACTTTCAACCAACCCCATAAAAGTGGTTCCCCCCGCCCCCCCCCCCCCCTCAAACAAACAAAAAAAGAGGTATACCCCCCAAACCAAAAAAAAGGAGAAAAAAACACACACACACACACACACACACACACACACACACACACACACACACACACACACACACACACACACACATGGCTGTTCCGTCTTCGGGCTGGGGCTCTTGTGGGGCTCGGAACCTGGACGCCGACTCGCCTCTGCAGAGCTCCGCGCCAGGGACGCCGGCTGCGTGGGAGGCCTCGGAAGCCAAACTCGGAAGCCAGGCCAACTTGTCACAGAAGGGGGAAACAAAGGTGGGAAAAAATCGGAAAAAGTCGGCGGAGGTGGGAAAAGGTGGGAAAAACGTCGGAAAAAGGTGGGAAAAGGTCGGAAGAACGTGGAGAAAAGTCGGGGAAAGTCGGGGAAAAAGTCGGAAAAGGTCGGAAAGTATGGCCCCCCTTGAGTTCATTCCCCAACTTGAGCAGACTCCGAAAAGGTCGGCCCCCCTGACATTGCCCAACCTTGCCAAGCCGCTAAGCGGAAAGGACGAATCGGCTAAAGGCCGGTGGGCTGGTAAAAGCTTGACATGTCCTTTTGCTCCGCCTTGAAACTGCACAACAAACGAAAACACGGAACTGGGTGCCCTGGCAGGTCCTCCTCGCTTCGCCTGGAGTCAGCTCGCTTGCACGGATCAGACATGTTGTTGTTGTTGTTTTTGTGTGGACTGAAAAATGGAAAGTGAAAAGACTCAACTTTCCATCTCAACTTTTCAACTTCAACTCAACCGGAAAACTGGAAAGTGGAAGCCTGGCGATAGAATGGCAACCTTGGTGAGGGGCCAAAAGGCTTTCCATGCCAAAGGACTGCAGTTCAACATACGCTGACATGGCCACCAGGAAACTGCCGAGATGATTCATGTATTCCCTGGCTCCCCGGTCTCAAAACATTCCCGCGAGGTCGGCGGCTCTTCTTCTTCGACCCCATACACTTGCGCTCAACGCCAGGCGTCATTCATGTGAGGTATGATCAGTATAATTTATTTGTACCGCTTCAAAGTCAGATAAACAAAAGGTGTTGCAAGGCAAAATGCTTACCTGTCACAACAGTTTGCCCCACAGTCAGCCTTGGAAGACTCATTACCGGAGAGCCCCGGGCCGAACCCAGACCAACCAAGGTTCACTGAAACGGTCATCTACACGGGAAGTGAGCTGGGGACCTGCTTGAAGCTGATCTTCCAAAACCCTCAAATTCCACTTCCATCATTTGGCTGTGGGTCAAAACCCTGTAAACCCCTGGTGGACGTCAAAATAGGCGAGCTCATCCACCCCAGAATGAAAATTTCCCATAGGTTATGCACCCCATGGCCATTTCGGTTGAAATCAGCGGGTAGAAAACTACGGCAGCGCCGGCTTCAGGCCGAACGCATGAGCCAGCCCGAGCCGCGCCTGGAGGCTTCGGTGAAGGATGAGGCCAGCTCATCAGCCTCACACGCGCGCGGTTTGCACGCGCCTGGAGTTCCAAGACCTAAGAGATGGCGTTTCCTTCCCAAGAACTCAACCAAAAAAAAACAAAGCATCTCTCTCTCCACAACAACTCATCCGAGATGTGAGAAATTGATGGGATGGACAAGCAACAAGTGTACAGACAGTATAATATGTCTGACTCAGGAGGGCGAGAAAATCGATCCGGCAAAAAAAACGAAGCAGAGCCTGTCCCATTCCAAAACACAAATTGCTAGAGTCTCCGGGGATCTCGGCCTGGTTCACGCGGGCCAGGATGGAGGTGGAGCCATAGGGCACGTTGCTCCTGTCCCCCAAACATCCCCAAGCGCCTTTGAGCCTTGCGTACCCCACTTGGGGTCGTCGCGGCAACAAGAGCCGCCAGAAAGTGAGCCAAGCAAATCGGCTTCGCAAGCCACTGGTCTCTGGGTTGATGCGGCTAAGCCAGAGGAACTCATTCGACTCGCAGACTCAACTGCAGGGGGTTCCAAATGTTAGGGAGGACTTCCTCTCATTATTTTCGGAAGCCACCCAAAGCGCGGGGGAAACAGCTGAAAACCAACGGCTAGAATAATCGCGTGGGTTTGTCCCAAACGCGGACCGCCTGCCTGCCTGCCACGTCAAATTCATGCATCCCGAAAAAACCAAATGGTGGGGGCGATCTCTCAGTGCAGGCATGCTTCAACATCTTTTTGCCCACAAGCCAAGACAAGGGTTCCCCCTGCCCCCCCCCACCAATTGTTTCAACCTCACTTTTCCCCACAGGCCAACGCAAGAGGGATACATACTTCCACAAATCAAAGGGCAGGCTCTGGACAGCAAGCCCCCAGCCGGCCCAAGCATCAGCCCCCGCTGACCACTCCTCCGCACCGTGTCTGTGGACCACCCGGCGGCAGAGCTCAGAGCGTGGCGCACCTGCCTGCGGCGTTCGGAGCAACCGCTCTCGGCGTTCGCGGGACAACGGTACTCCTTGCCCAGTGATGGTGCTGAGAAATGACTTTGTCTTAGGTAGGGATTTTCCCCAAACCTTTCTGGCCAACACACCTGAAAAAAGAAGAAGAAACAAAAAGCGTTTCTTATTGCGCGAAACGTCGAAAACAACCCAGTTCGGGGGCCGCGATGCCTGCAAATTCACAGGTGACAGCAACTCATGCAGGCGCCACAAGCACATCACTTTTACCTCTACCGCTGTTTGGCCAAGCAAAGGGTCTCTAAGAACCCCTCTTAGGGAGCGCTCGCTGGCTGACAGAAACAGCTATGTGACGCGGAGAGAAGTGGTTGTCAGCATGATTTTATGAAAACTGGAACGGCCAGCAAACATTATCCCAGACTAGTTGCCTGAGTTGTCGCTTGTCCTCCTGCCGCTCCCTCACCGATGTGGTCACTTGAAGAAGCTGAGTTTGCTGGTTGTCTGCTTCGGTTGACACTGGGACATGAAGGAATCATCCGTGACTGATGTGAGGCCCTGAGGCTCGTGGGGTGCGTGCTGCTCAGTCACCAGAAACAGGAAACATGTATCCTGACACTACTTCAGCTCCTGATTCACCCTTCATGAAGTCATGAAGAGACCCTAATGCGGCCTAATGCATGTTGGTGTCAGTTTGGTTGTTGTACCTATGGCGCCCCTTCATGAATCTGAAGCCACCCCGACTGCCCCAAACATTGCGAAGGATCCAGCGCTTGGTGGCAGAGACCAAAACTGCAAGCACAGACGCTGCCGACAACCAGAACCGGTGAGGACAACAACAGAGCACACAAACTATCCCACACAAAAAAGAATGAGCTGATACCTGTGGAGCGATCTGGCTGAACGCTGTCCATTCCCCGCCTCAACTCAACCTCCTTGGCAGTTTGCTGCTCCCGCGCTCCTGTTCGCGCATCGACACATTCGGGCCGATTGATTGCTTGATTGTTTGATTGTTTGATTGTTTGTTGGTTGGTTGGTTGGTTGGTTGGTTGGTTGGTTTGGCTTGGCTTGGTCTGATTATCCGCCGACCCCTTCTCCTCAAAGGGGGAGGCGCACGGGAAGGGTGGTTGCAGTACAAGCGCATGGATTAATCTTTGAGGCAAGCATATGACTACTGGCATCATACGGATGCCCATCATCATCATCATCATCATCATCGATATGATCCTTCATCATTCTTATCGTCAACATCATCATCATCATCATTTCTATATCCTTCATCATCATCATCCTCGTCATCATCCTTATTTTTTGATATACGTTTCAATTGTGGCGTTAGAGAGGGTTTGACATGCAAAAGCTGCGTGGACATGATGATCATGATGACTGCCCCCCCCGGCCCCTGAAGATTGGGGCTTAACGCCCCGCTCTGGCCCATTGTAGCTGCCACACAGGGGACTCATTTAGGCTTGGGCGCAGGGGGCGCTATCTCAAAAAATGAGCCCCTTACTTTTCGGCACAAGGAGTGCTAGGGATACTGGGCCCGTGGGGTAAGTCTCGGGCCGCCCTGGTGATGCCGAGGATGCTACGTTAGACACCATTGGCAATGCAGAGGATGCTACAACGATAGTTATGATCACAGTCCTCATCCTTATCATCACTAGCATCAGGTCATCATCTCTTACTAGCCGGCGCTGGTGATGCCGAGGATGCTACGATGATAGTTATCATCACAGTCCTCATCCTTGTCATCATTATCATCATGGTCATCATCATCTCTTATTAGCTGGCACTGGTGATGCCGAGGATCATCGTCTCTTGGTTCATCATCATCATCACGGTGCTCATCATCATCAGCTTCTTCGTCATCGTCCTTATCTTTTTTATATACGTTTCAAGTGTCCCGTTAGACCCGATTTGAGATGCAGAAGATGCGTGGACATGATTATCATGATGACTGCTGGTGATGCTGATGATGATTATCATGTCAGTTCATCATCATCATCAGCATCATCATCACGGTGCTCATCATCATCATCTTCTTCGTCATCGTCCTTATCTTTTTTATATACGTTTCAAGTGTCCCGTTAGACCCGATTTGAGATGCAGAAGATGCGTGGACATGATTATCATGATGACTGCTGGTGATGCTGAGGATGCGTCATGATGATTATCATGTCAGTTCATCATCATCATCATCATCAGCATCATCACGGTGCTTATCATCATCATCTTCTTCGTCATCGTCCTTATCTTTTTTTATATACGTTTCAAGTGTCCCGTTAGACCCGATTTGAGATGCAGAAGATGCGCGGACATAAGCACCGTGATGGTGCTGATGATGATGATGAACTGACGTGATAATCATCAACATGACGAAGAAGATGATGATGATGAACACCAACTGACATGGTAATCATCATGACGCATCCTCAGCATCACCAGCAGTCATCATGATAATCATGTCCGCGCATCTTCTGCATCTCAAATCGGGTCTAACGGGACACTTGAAACGTATATAAAAAAAGATAAGGACGATGACGAAGAAGATGATGATGATAAGCACCGTGATGATGCTGATGATGATGATGATGAACTGACATGATAATCATCATGACGCATCCTCAGCATCACCAGCAGTCATCATGATAATCATGTCCACGCATCTTCTGCATCTCAAATCGGGTCTAACGGGACACTTGAAACGTATATAAAAAAAGATAAGGACGATGACGAAGAAGATGATGATGATGAGCACCGTGATGATGATGCTGATGATGATGATGAACTGACATGATAATCATCATGACGCATCCTCAGCATCACCAGCAGTCATCATGATAATCATGTCCGCGCATCTTCTGCATCTCAAATCGGGTCTAACGGGACACTTGAAACGTACATAAAAAAGATAAGGACGATGACGAAGAAGCTGATGATGATGAGCACCAGATGATGATGAACTGACATGATAATCATCATGACGCATCCTCAGCATCACCAGCAGTCATCATGATAATCATCATCATCATCTTCTTCGTCATCGTCCTTATCTCTTTTTATGTACGTTTCAAGTGTCCCGAGCCGGCACTGGTGATGCCGAGGATGCTACGATGATAGTTATCATCACAGTCCTCGTATCATCACGGTCATCACCATCTCTTATTAGGCAGCACTGGTGATGCAAAGGGTGTTACGATGATAGTTATCATCATAATCATCATCATGATCATCCTTGTTATGATGTCATCGCTCTTCTCATCATCATGATGATCATCATCATCTCATTCTTGTTCTTATTCTTATATGCATTTCAAAAGTAACGTTAGACCCCATTGGCAATGCAGAGGATGCTACGACGATACTTATCATCACAGTCCTCGTCCTTATCATCACTATCATCATGGTTACATCTCTTATTAGCCGGCGCTGGTGATGCCGAGGATGTCATCATCATCTCTTATTAGGCAGCACTGGTGATGCAAAGGGTGTTGCAATGATAGTTATCATCATAATCATCATCATGATCATCCTGATTATGATGTCATCGCTCTTCTCATCATCATCATCATGATCATCATCATAGGCAGCACTGGTGATGCAAAGGGTGTTACGATGATAGTTATCATCATAATCATCATCATGATCATCCTTACTATGATGTCATCGCTCTTCTCATCATCATCATGATGATCATCATCATCTCATTCTTGTTCTTATTCTTATATGCATTTCAAAAGTAACGTTAGACCCCATTGGCAATGCAGAGGATGCTACGACGATACTTATCATCACAGTCCTCATCCTTATCATCACTATCATCATGGTTAGTTATCATCTCTTATTAGCCGGCACTGGTGATGCCGAGGATGTCATCATCATCTCTCACTGGTGATGCAAAGGGTGTTACGATGCATAATCATCATCATGATTCATCACAGTCCTCATCTTTATCATCACTATCATCATGGTCATCATCATCTCTTGTTAGTCGGCACCGATGATGCCGAGGATGCTACGATGATATATATCATCACAGCCCTCATCTTTGTCATCGTAATCATCATGGTCATCATCGTCTCTTAGTAGCCGGCACTGGTGATGCCGAGGATGCTACGATGATAGTTATCATCACAGTCCTCATCCTTGTCATCATTATCATCACGGTCATTATCATCTCTTATTAGGCAGTACTGGTGATGCAAAGGGTGTTACGATGATAGTTATCATCATAATCATCATCATGATCATCCTTATTATGATGTCATCGCTCTTCTCATCATCATCATGATGCTCATCATCATCTCATTCTTGTTCAAGGGCTGCCGCCCCCTGGATTTAGTTGTGGTTTTCGAGCAACCAAAAACACTGCCCTTGGTTTTGGTTTCTTTGGTTTCTTGCGAATGATGCGTAGTGATGATTATCATCAAGGCAGGACTCCAAATCTCAATGACCCAAATGGCATCTGAGGCGAGGTGCCGTTTCGACAGTGATGCGTAGTCATGATTATGATCATCGCTGCTGGAGATGCTGGGGATGCGTAGTGATGATTATCCTCATGATTGCCACAGATGCTGCGAATGATGCGTAGTGATGATTATCATCAAGGCAGGACTCCAAATCTCAATGACACAAATGGCATCTGAGGCGAGGTGCCGTTTCGATAGTGATGCGTAGTCATGATCATCGCTAGGCACCCTTGGTAATGCAGAGGATGCTACGATGATAGTGATCATGACAGGGATCATTTGTTGCCCAGCAAGTCACAGTCCCTGTTCGTGTCTTCAAAAATGCAAACAAAACCCTGAAATACAAGATTAGCCTTTTGGGGCCACTAACATTTCACCCAAAAGAAACCAAAGAAACCAAAACCAAGGGCACTGTTTTTTGTGGCTCCAAAACCACAACTAAATCCCTGGGCGGCAGCCCTTAAATCCGGCCGGGGGCCCCTGACCCCGTGGTCCGTGACATTGACATCGCCGAAGGCCTAGGCCCGCAGGGCCTACCTTCAGGTATAAGGCTGTCCGCCCAATGCCGCCGACCCACTGCCGACCATGTGCCGAACTTTTGCGCTGCGCCAAGCTGGGCCCACCCTTATAAGGGGCGAAGGATTTGCGGATTTGTTCAGGCGATTTTTGGCGGCTTTTTGAGCATCTCCCCGCGGAGTCAAAAAACGGGTGTTTTTTTGGGGGGTGCCCATAGTGGACAACATCCCCGGCATCACCTGCATCATCCGCATCCTTGGCGGACATTGATGCGGATGATGCCGGTGATGCGGGGGATGCTGGGGATGTTGTCCCCTAAGTCGGGCCAACTTTGCCGAAAACGTGCAACCTGAAAATCTTAAAATCTTAAAGTGGATGGAAAATGGATGGAAAATGGCCTGGATTGAAATCTCAAAATCCTAAAGCTTAAAATCTGAAAATATAAAAACATCCTAAAGTCTCGGGGGATGCTGGGGATGTTGTCCCCTAAGTCGGGCCAACTTTGCCGAAAACGTGCAACCTGAAAATCTTAAAATCTTAAAGTGGATGGAAAATGGATGGAAAATGGCCTGGATTGAAATCTCAAAATCCTAAAGTCTTAGATTCTTAAAATCTTAAATTAAAATCTAACAATCAATCTTAGAATCTCGAGATCTTAAAATCTTCGAACTTAGAATCTTAAAATCTGAAAATAGAACATCCTAAAGTCTCGGGGGATGCTGGGGATGTTGTCCCCTAAGTCGGGCCAACTTTGCCGAAAACGTGCAACCTGAAAATCTTAAAATCTTAAAGTGGATGGAAAATGGATGGAAAATGGCCTGGATTGAAATCTCAAAATCCTAAAGCTTAAAATCTGAAAATATAAAAACATCCTAAAGTCTCGGGGGATGCTGGGGATGTTGTCCCCTAAGTCGGGCCAACTTTGCCGAAAACGTGCAACCTGAAAATCTTAAAATCTTAAAGTGGATGAAAAATGGATGGAAAATGGCCTGGATTGAAATCTCAAAATCCTAAAGTCTTAGATTCTTAAAATCTTAAATTAAAATCTAACAATCAATCTTAGAATCTCGAGATCTTAAAATCTTCGAACTTAGAATCTTAAAATCTGAAAATATAAAAACATCCTAAAGTCTTCGAATCTTGAAATCTTAAAACCCTTATGTCTTAGAATCTTGCGATCTTAAACTCTTAAAATATGAAATTCCTACAGTCTTAAACTCTTACTCTTGAAATTTGGAAATCTTGAAACCTCAAGATCTTAAACTTACAACCTTAGAAGATCGAATCTTACAATCTGAAAATATAAACATCCTAAAGTCTTCGAATCTTGACTTCTTAAAACCCGAATATCTTTGAATCTTCAGATGTTAAAATCTAAAAATATGAACTTCCTAAATTCTCAAAGTCTTAAAAGCTTTCAAAACTTAAATTCTTTAAATCTCGAACTATTGCAATCTGAAAATCTTGACTTCATAAACAAGTAAAATATAATAAAATTCCTTCAATCCGGGCTATATTTTAAATTCCTTAAACTCTTAATCTTGAAACTTTGAAGCCTTCAAGTCTTGAGATCTTAAAATCTTAAACTCCGAAAGTCGCCAAATCTGAAAATCTCCGAAAAATAAAATCTTAAAGCAATCGAAATCTGATAATAGATGGAAAATGGCTGGGCAATGGCCTGCCTGTTATAACCTTCAAAAACTTTAAATCTTTGAATCTTAAAACCTTAATTCTTAAACCATTGAAACCTTAAATTCCGACAGTCTTCAAATCTGAGACCCTTAGAATCTCAAAGTTTTTAGAATCTGAAAATCTTAACATCTACTAATCGGACCCCGTGGTCTGTGACATCGCCGAAGGCCTAGGCCCGCAAGGCCTACCTTCAGGTATAAGGCCGTCCGCCCCATGCCGCCGACCCACCGCCGACCATGTGCCGAACTTTTGCGCTGAAACCTCGCTGCCAGGGGGGAAAACGTGTTTGGGCGCATTTTGGGCGAAAAGGGGACGATTTTGGACCGACCTGTTGCCATGTCAAAAATGTTCCACTTTTTGGGGGGTACCCGGCGGGCCAACATGGCCCCAAGACAGCCCTAACTCGGATCAATTTGCTAAACACGTTGAAAAACCCAGTGTTTTTGAGCGTTTTTGGTAGGCAGCAGCGTGCAAAATGTGGAAACCTGCTTAAGTATCAGGCCTTACTGCTGCCCAGCCAGACTCGGTTTTGGACAAGGTTTTCGCTGAAAACACGACAAAACACTGTGTTTTACGCAGTTTTGCTTCGATTCCAGGCTGCGCTGCTGCGGAAAAAAGCGGGAAATATCTGGAATCTGGAAACCTGCTTAAGTATCAGGCCTCACCCCTGCCCAGGCAAACTCGGATTTGGGCATGGTGTTCGCTTTGAAATTATGGTGAAGGCGCTAAATGCCAGGAAGGGAAGACATGCAAAGGAAGCAAAGTTCACATCCCGGAAGCTAACGGGAATTCAAGGAAAAGAAAATACAAGAATGGGAAGGGCAAGGTGCCCGGTGGCCGGCTGTGTCGCGTCAGCGTGTAAATCCGGCCACCGGGGCCCCTGACCCCGTGGTCCGTGACATCGCCGAAGGCCTAGGCCCGCAGGGCCTACCTTCAGGTATAAGGCCGTCCGCCCCACGCCGCCGACCATGTGCCGAACTTTTGCGCTGCGCCAAGCTGGGCCCACCCTTATAAGGGGCGAAGGATTTGCGGATTTGTTCAGGCGATTTTTGGCGGCTTTTTGAGCATCTCCCCGCGGAGTCAAAAAACGAGTGTTTTTTGGGGGGTGCCCATAGTGGACAACATCCCCGGCATCACCTGCATCATCCGCATCCTTGGCGGACATTGATGCGGATGATGCCGGTGATGCGGGGGATGCTGGGGATGTTGTCCCCGAAGTCGGGCCAACTTTGCCGAAAACGTGCAACCTGAAAATCTTAAAATCTTAAAGTGGATGGAAAATGGATGGAAAATGGCCTGGATTGAAATCTCAAAATCCTAAAGTCTTAGATTCTTAAAATCTTAAATTAAAATCTAACAATCAATCTTAGAATCTCGAGATCTTAAAATCTTCGAACTTAGAATCTTAAAATCTGAAAATATAAAAACATCCTAAAGTCTCGGGGGATGCTGGGGATGTTGTCCCCTAAGTCGGGCCAACTTTGCCGAAAACGTGCAACCTGAAAATCTTAAAATCTTAAAGTGGATGGAAAATGGATGGAAAATGGCCTGGATTGAAATCTCAAAATCCTAAAGCTTAAAATCTGAAAATATAAAACATCCTAAAGTCTCGGGGGATGCTGGGGATGTTGTCCCCTAAGTCGGGCCAACTTTGCCGAAAACGTGCAACCTGAAAATCTTAAAATCTTAAAGTGGATGGAAAATGGATGGAAAATGGCCTGGATTGAAATCTCAAAATCCTAAAGTCTTAGATTCTTAAAATCTTAAATTAAAATCTAACAATCAATCTTAGAATCTCGAGATCTTAAAATCTTCGAACTTAGAATCTTAAAATCTGAAAATATAAAAACATCCTAAAGTCTCGGGGGATGCTGGGGATGTTGTCCCCTAAGTCGGGCCAACTTTGCCGAAAACGTGCAACCTGAAAATCTTAAAATCTTAAAGTGGATGGAAAATGGATGGAAAATGGCCTGGATTGAAATCTCAAAATCCTAAAGCTTAAAATCTGAAAATATAAAAACATCCCAAAGTCTCGGGGGATGCTGGGGATGTTGCCCCCTAAGTCGGGCCAACTTTGCCGAAAACGTGCAACCTGAAAATCTTAAAATCTTAAAGTGGATGGAAAATAGATGGAAAATGGCCTGGATTGAAATCTCAAGATCCTAAAGTCTTAGATTCTTAAAATCTTAAATTCAAATCTAACAATCAATCTTAGAATCTTGAGATCTTAAAATCTTCGAACTTAGAATCTTAAAATCTGAAAATATAAAAACATCCTAAAGTCTTCGAATCTTGAAATCTTAAAACCCTTATGTCTTAGAATCTTGCGATCTTAAACTCTTAAAATATGAAATTCCTACAGTCTTAAACTCTTACTCTTGAAATTTGGAAATCTTGAAACCTCAAGATCTTAAACTTACAACCTTAGAAGATCGAATCTTACAATCTGAAAATATAAACATCCTAAAGTCTTCGAATCTTGACTTCTTAAAACCCGAATATCTTTGAATCTTCAGATATTAAAATCTAAAAATATGAACTTCCTAAATTCTCAAAGTCTTAAAATTTCAGAATCTGAAAAGCTTTCAAAACTTAAATTCTTTAAATCTCGAACTATTGCAATCTGAAAATCTTAACTTCATAAACAAGTAAAATATAATAAAATTCCTTCAATCCGGGCTATATTTTAAATTCCTTAAACTCTTAATCTTGAAACTTTGAAGCCTTGAATTCTTGAGATCTTAAAATCTTAAATTCCGAAAGTCGCCAAATCTGAAAATCTCCGAAAAATAAAATCTTAAAGCCTTCGAAATCTGATAATAGATGGAAAATGGCTGGGCAATGGCCTGGCTGTTATACCTTCAAAAACTTTAAATCTTTGAATCTTAAAACCTTAATTCTTAAACCATTGAAACGTTAAATTCCGACAGTCTTCAAATCTGAGACCCTTAGAATCTCAAAGTTTTTAGAATCTGAAAATCTTAACATCTACTAATCGGACTTACAGGAAAGGGAAGTGACAGAACGAGCAGGGCAAGGTGCCCGGTGGCCGGCTGTGTCGCGTCAGCGTGTAAATAAAGAAGTCAATTACCGCCAGGCTGTTCCCAAAGGCTTGACTTCTTCATCCAAGTTCTCAGGTCTTGATGGTAATAGCTGGTAACAGGAATTCCAGATACAAATACGAAAACAACATGATAATATGCTGGATTTCCCGTCACCAAGTAAGTCCTAACTAATACACGGAAGATGGAGGTAGGATGGGGAAGGAAAAGAGACGGCTCTTGCCCCTCTCTCCATCATTTCCTATCTCTTGGTTACAGCTCTATTTCTCGCCTGAAAATGATCGTCCAAAATAAAGACTCTCAAAATAGGAATATACTAATGAAGGGATCTGACGACAGGGAATAACCTTTTCTGCAGTTGACAATGGTCCTTGAAATCTAAACACAAAGATCTGGCAAAGGCAAAGACCGAATGAAAGTAATAAGTAGTCTGGAGACATAAACATGATGAAAATGGGCTTAGGTTTCTTTTGGCTTCCCTAAGCCTCAAAAAGGGTACCCTCAAAAAAAGGCGCGCCACCCATACTAGACTGAAACCGGCTTCATGCAATGCGATGCATTGTGCCGTCCTGCACAACCGGGGTTTGAAGGGCCATCTCCACTCGGAAGCCTTTTGCCAATGAGACATACTCAAATCCGCATCGATTTTCTCACCAACCTGAATGGGCTCTCAGTCGCGGACGTCCCATCAAGACCCATCATCCAGCAGATTTAGGCCAATGACTCCAATCCCCCCCCCCCACTCCCAGTAACTGGACCTTCTTTTGGGGTGTTGTTTTTTTTGGGTCTTGGTTGCAAAATTCAGGTGTCCATGGCACCCCCCCCTCCCATTAACCTTGATGGGTGTTAACTCCCTTATTTTACCGACCCATATGCCTTCCAGGCGCTGCTGCAGGGACTTCTCCACCTGCAAACGTCAAACGGGAAATGCACGAAACGCACAGAGCGCGGACGCGGAAGCTGTGGGGGGAAAGGGGGGTCCGTCAAAATGGAGAAGGTGGGTTCCTGTTGGTTTCCCTACTCTAAGGCAACCCGAAGAAAAACAAAGAAGGAAAAAACGAATTGGGGGAAGGGTGGGGGGGGATGAAGCTTCTGGTGAACTTTATACCCCCGCCAAACAAAATAACCCTGGCTGACATGGCTTGGCATGCCCTTGGCTGAAGCCCTACAGTTCCCTGCCATGTTCAAAGTTCAATGTTGAGCCAGCCCAACGACAAACGCGTCCACTGCAGGCGTAGTCGGCCTTGCAAGATGACTTGTGAATCCTGCACCATGCAAGCCGGTGACAGGAACAGCTTCTGCCTGATATAGCCAACTCCAAGCCACAAGCGCGCAGCGAGACCGCAAGCGAACAAACTCCGCCTGAAGCAGTGTGGAACAATGCAGCTCCGTCCGTGCAAGCTTCGTTTATGTTATGTTGCACACAGGGCTCAGCTACTTGTTCTTTACAATGGGTGCTTTCCATCGTTGCATTCTTGATGTGAAGTCTTAAGCACTACCACTTGCATTCTCTAGGTAGATATTTAGATGATGCCTCGTCTTGGCGGACAGCTGTATCCAGCTTGGCCAATCCTATGCTGGAATCTGAGCTCCAAAAAGAGGCAAGGCAAACCAAAACACTGCACATCAAAGCCGATCAAAAGAATACTGGCTGAGGCGGGCAGCGCGAAGCGTTTACGATTCGATGCTTGACGCGCTTCTTGCTTCTCTGCTTTGCCCGCAGTCTGAAGTCCAAAGGCCCGGAAGATTGGATCAAGGAAGCGGGCCACACGCATGGGCATACCTGAGTACTCACCTGGTCAGGCAAAGGACGCCTGGTCAGGCAAAGCACGCATGATATCCCAAAGTACCCTCAGCCCAAGGTTCCAAGGTCTGCACACGAGACGGAAGTGGCAAAGCCAAGCAGGCCAGCTTAGCCCACAGCAAACGCATCGTGGCTATCGACTGACAAATGTCATCACAAAGGCTCCCACCCCGGACCGCGCAGACATTCATAAGTGCATGCAGCCCCCAACCATCCATTCAAGCATGCTTCTGCATGCTTCACCCGAAAATCAGGATCCCATGAAAGAAGGCGGTGACGTCGCAAACCCCAAAGCCTAACGCCGTCCAAAACATCGCCCAGGGAAATATGTCAGGACCTCCCCCCCGCCAAAACCCCCCAGAGCCCGCCAAAACCCCGGCACCACCCCGGGCCGCCAAACGTGCCGCGTCCCCAAAAACGTCGCGTCGCCTCGGCTTGGGCCGCCAGGTCCTCCTCCAGCTGCGCCACCCGCTGCTGCGCGTCCAGCAGCCGCTGGCAGGTCTCCGAGAAGACCTCGAGCGGTGGATCGGGATGGCTCGGGGGCGGCTGGGAGCGCTCGTGGATCGGTGTGGCACCTAGACCCGGAAAAGCGCTGAGGCGCCGAAACCTCAGGTTTGCCCGGAGCCAAAACCGATAGATCTGGGTTGGTGAACTATCAAAGCCAAGCGCTTGGTAGGCTGAGGGTGGAACAGACTACACCTGGGTGAAAGACGGCAATCCCCAGATATGTCTGTAAGGATGGTAAACCCCAATTGAGGCTGCGCCATCCACGTTCATCCAACTGTACTTTGTTGACCTTGGTAGACCTACTAGGTTGGTCTGATCAAAGTCAAGCCCTAAGTAGGTGAAAGGGAAGGCAACACCAGCTTCAGACCTGGGAACAAAACAGAAAACAGACGCGACAATAATACACAGCATTAATACACAAGGGACTAAATAGCTAGTGGAATGAGGCTTGTAGGTTGCGTTAACACCAAATTAGGCGTGTGTGTGTGTAACCGTTGCCCCTTGTCTTCCGTCAAGCTATCCCCAAGAAGTTGATTGGAAGCCAGCCCAGACATCTGCAACCCCTCCGCGTGTTACATGTTGGCAATGGCTGTCGCGCCGCTGGCTTGCCAGCGTCTGTCAGGCGTAGGCCATCCGATGGCTTGGGCAGTTTTCGAAAGCGGCGGTGGCCGATTCATGGCAGTGGCCAGCTGCCAGCTGGAGGCTTTGTGGCCTACCGGGGTTCTAGTTGAACCCTGTGGAGACAAAGCTTTCGAGCCAAGCCCGCACCTCGTCCTTCTCTGCAAGCCGGCGCTCCGCCTGCGATCGCAGCGATGGGTCCAGGGGCTGCCAGCACTTGGGCTTGGCTAAAGAAGGGAACACCCCCCCCGCCCCCGCACAAAAAAATATTGGTTTCTCGTTGAAAAACTATTTGAGCGTTTTGGAAGGGCGGGCCAGCAAACCAGGGTCTCGGCTCAGCTTTCGCAAAATTCCCCTTCAAACGAGTCTTGACCAATCCCAATCGCAATGCGCGTGTTGGGCTTCCCTGCCCATAGCCAAAGCAAATGTGAAGAAGCCCTTCTATCTTTGGCTGGAACTCTATCTCTGAGCCTTATTCCCCCCTTCCCCCTACTCACCCATGGACCACCCCAAAACCTTCAAACCAACCCAAACCACCAATGAGAGGGAAGCTGAGTTGCGCGGTCCCTGGGTTGAAAGCACAGCAGACCCTGACATTCCACGACTCCGCCCGCCCTCCGCCTCCTGCGCTCGCTTCCGCATGTTTGCCAGGTCCGCACAACGCGCGTCCAGCTCGGACTGGGCACATCGCATCGGTTTGCTTTTTGCTCCTTTTGATCCACCTGGGGGCGTGTTCCGTTTGGTTCTTCTTTGTTCCCTTGATCCCCTTGATCCCGTTGATCTCTTGATTCTGTTCCCTTTTGCTCATTTGTTGTTCCTTTTGATCCCATTTGGGTCTCATGTTAGTTTCAAGACGCAACCTGGTGGATCGATCAGGTGCCCCGAAAAGTGCCGGCCGGATCCATACTTTCGGGTGGGCTCCGAAAATGGGGGGCGAGGGCGGGAGAACACCAAGGCCGGCCATCCATACAGATCGACTCAGTAGATGAAATGCCGAGCTGGAGTTTATCCTAGGGGGTCCTGCCAAGCTTACCAAAGCACTTGCGTGGAAAAGCTTAGACGAAAAACGCCTGAAGGTGCTTCCCAATCAAATATGCCCATGCATCCGCAGACAGTAACTGTGCATGTGCAAGTGGATAACCCTAGTCAGCAAGTCCCCCAAGTAGGCTCCATCCTACATAAATAGTTGAGGGACTTACCTCAGACTAACATGGAAGCTTTCAGGGCCCCTTTTGGAAGACTTGGTTCAATCTCTTTTGGAAGACTTGATTCAATCTACAGAGGCCTTCTGGGAGCTTCCATGTTTGTGTGAGGGAGTGTAGTCGGGGTTTCCAACCACTCTGGTGCGAGTCAGACCGATCGCCTGCAGCTGCATGTTGCTCTCCCTCAGGGCGGTGATCGTGAGGTCTTTGCCCGATCCGCCCTGGCCAGGTCGCCGGTCCAAGCAAAGGTGGTCTTGCTTTCCCATGGGCGGATGGGCCAAAAGAGATCTGCGGCGCTGCTCGTTCGCCACGACCAAATTCCCCAAAAAGTGGTCCAAGCCCAGAAACTCGAGCGAGTGGTGCCCAAACTCTTGTGGCTCGTGTTCTGACCGGCTGGGTGGGGAGGCCATTGTCCTATCGACATGCAGCTTGCGTCTTGTTTCAGATAAGTATCAGTTGTAGGCGCGGTACGGGCCTTGCAGGCTTTACACGTTGCACAGGTTGCTTGAAACAAAGAATGTGAGCATAAGGTATCCCTAAGGAAGAAACCCTCATTACGCCATACCCATGTGAGCAATCCCCATTGCGGTATTTTCAGATTCTGGCGTCATTTCACCAATGATCAGCCAACACGCCCTTGCCCACATGGCCATGGGTCAAAAATCCCGTACCCCGAGTGAACATCCCAATCCCCACTAAAGTAGACTAAAATGGGTGGTACACCTACCCCAAAATGGTAGCCACATCCTTGTGGTCGGACCCAACCGAAGGAAGCAGAAAGAGGGTGGTGAAGAACCACACTCTCCAATCGAGGCATCCAAACACATCCACCTGAACATCGACCCCAACAAGTGGTTTTCCTGACCCGGAATAAGCACGGGGATCCGCTATAAATTGGCAAACCAAGATGCATCTTTCAAAGAGCCCTACCAAAGATTGCAAGTAGTTGGGCCCTGGGGATTCGGATCCCCTCGCATCTCAGGTCGTGGCCCCCCCCATGCCGCTGAAATGGAGAGCCAAGTATCAGATGCACAAGTGCAACAGGGGCAGGAGGTTGGTCAAGGGGCCGCGAAAATTCGGCGCGGTAAACCTGGCTTCTTTCAATGGTCGGAGTTTGGCCACCCAAACCAAACGATGCAAGTGCAAGGACAGTGTGGAATCTCTCCCCTTGACCTCAGGCTCTCAGTCGCCCTAGTAGCCGGCCATCAGTCCGCCTGCGCTTCCAACTCCTTGATCCTTCGTGTGGCGGCCTGGCTAGGAGCCGAGGCCCCACCCACACCCCCAAAAAAGATCCCCAACCGCGACTCAAAAGGAAGGTCGGTCGTCTTCCAAAACCCGCCTTCCGGCTTCCACGATTGTTCGAGGGGGTGTAACCAACGCAGAAATCATGAGCGCTTTTTGCTGCACCAAGTGTTAACTTGGCGAATCAGGAGCAAGGAATAGGCTAAGCTCACAGCAACGAAAGGGGCCGCATTTTCGCAAAGGACCCGCTTGAACACGTCCTTCCATAGGCAGTGCTGCATAATCATAATTCTCTCTCACGCCAATGTTCTCCAACCTTGCCGCCTTCACCCAAACCTACCAAGCAAGACATGGCACGGGATATGAATTGCGAGGCTTGGAGCATACCGCAAAGAGGCGGAGGCTCCACAGCTCCTCTATCCCCATACACCATGGCTTCACAGCCTCAAAATGCTCAACAGCGTCAGCCATGAGCAACTCCTCTCCAACATGCGCATGTCTTCAATTGGACCCTGGCACGCTGCTCTTGACAGGATCTCCTGGATTCTTGTTCAATTCAGACTGCTGATCTTTGGGCTTCTAATGGTTTGTGCAATCCCGCTCCCCCTCCCCTGCCATTCTCAATGAAAAGAATCTGCAATCCTTCGTGATCAACATACAATGTGAGGGGAAGGGAGTGCAGAGTAACATTCCCACAACACCAAGAGGCGGGCCATATCATGTATTGTGATGACCTTCTTCGAACAAGGATGCCTGTGCCTTGTTTTGCAAGCTGTGTATGTCATGCTTCACCCTGACAAATGTTCGTGACTGATGCTTTAATCCCTCATGACTCCACTTCGCTCTTTTGATCAACATCATTTTCAAAATGGCCATCGCACTTCGCTCTGAGGGCCAGCCCCGCAATACCAGCGACATTGCCAGCCAACCCGCCCACCAGCGCCTGCAAACGCTCCGACTCCTCCGGCTGCTGAGCTTTGAGCTGCTGGATCTGCAAATGGGAGCTCAAGAAGCCGGCAGGACAACGTGGTCAATTTATGTGACAGAATGACATTTCAGGTAACAACTTGATTGCTACATCAGGTTGGTGGTCGACTCCCTCTCCTGCCAAGCCTACAATTATTGGTGCTTGCATCAGGGAGGGAGGAAAGCGACCACTCCTCTGGTAAGCAAGTCTTCACGGTGGCAAGTTGAGACGCTGATGGCCGTATCATGGCGCGTGCAAACAAGGCCGTTTGACTATGGCCTGTGTGAGGGTGCGGGTGGGGGTGCGCGTGTGCATGCGTGCGTGCGCGTCCGCGTCCGCGGGCCTGGACGTACGCGTGGGCGCGTGCGTGCGCTGGGTGTGTGTGTGTGTGGGAATGTGGGTGTGTATATATATATATATAATATACGTATATATATATAATATTATATACCCCTATCTCTGCGTAAAGGTGTGTAACAAGATCGCATGTCGCATGTTGCACATATCATCAACGTTAGCTTGTGGTCTGGTTTCAACAGATTCGCAAGCAGGATGGCTCTGGAACCATGCTACTGCTCGCCTTAGATGGGGTCCGCAGTGCACCATGAAATTGCCACCTTGGCCGGCTGAACACCCAAACACCTGAGACCCTCCGTCGCCTCGGCGGAAAGCTTGCCGCAGAGCTGGCGCATCATTTCCATGTCCGAGCCCGAGCTTTGCGGCTCGCCTCGGCCAGATCGCCACCCTTTTGACAAACAAGCTCAGCCCTTGAAGAAGCGCATGAAAGCTGTGTACCAGACTGCGAAAACTCATGTTGAGTGTTGTGCCCACGTGCGTTTGTGTGTGTGTGTGTGTGTCGTCCAAACAAATATCATACGTCAGCGGGCCCTTTCCACCGGCACCCAAATGAAAACAGCAGGCGCGGACATCCTGATAGCATCAGTGCCAACCAAGCACACCGGCTCACCTGGTTCGCTGGGCACTTTGTTCGAATGGACCATCCTTGCCCTGTGCAAGCATCCAGGTTTAGGACAGAGTTCACCCTCGAGAACCACTAAAAGTATCGAAATTTTCCCAACAAGGGGTCGACATTCTGCGTTGGCAATCCCTGACTCGACAAAACTTCCTGGAAGTCCGAGGCTAGGAGGGAACGAGTCACGTCAAAATTACGTGTTTAATTGCATGATGCCGAATGGTCCCGGAAAGAAAACACAGCTTGGGGTGGCGATTGCAATTGACAGAATGGGCCAAAGGTCAGGCTCGATTCTCTCGAGAATCTAGCACACAGTTAATGTTAGATGAGCAGCGAGCGTCTTCTGTCTGTTTCAGTTGCCACTACACATCCTCACACTTGTGCTAGGATAAAATTACACTTATCGTGGATCAATGGCCTGCTGCAAGGCCGGTAATTTCTTGAAGAGGCTCCAAAATAGATCGCGCCAGTGTTGCGAAAGAAACGTGAGAGCTGCAGATACTGTTGCAAATGGACTGATTTCTATCCGGCGCTTGCGTGCCATATGGTGCCATAAAGACAAGTTGTTTCCGTTGCAGAGAAAATGTCGAAATGAGGCACGCGAGTGTTCGAGTCACTTGTCCGCTACTGCACTCGCACATTCGCAAGTCTGTGCCCGTAGTCAGTCAAAGTTCAGCCCGTTGAATGGTAAATCTTTGACCTTGATAAAGCGCACAATGTCTTGTTTCGGTACAGTTCCGGTCAACGCTGGCTCGTGGAGAAATGGATTAGCTAAGAGTACTGTCCTTGGCATCTCTCGCACTAGAGGGGTTGGTCCCTCCGGTTATGCTTACTTGTCTAGGTCCTCCAGTAGAGAGGTTAGAATAAGGGTATCCTTTTTCCGGTAGTCTATTTTAGTAGGGGACCCCTCCCCCAAAAAAGGGGAGAGAAGGGCACTACTGGGGGACCTGGTTGTGCTTTCTCGCGTTTTGAGGACTTCACCTGGGCGCGGCCTAGGGGGAGAGGAGGCGCAAAGACATGGCTGACGTCCTGAGCTTCCGAGCCAGGGGGAGCCTCGTCCGTGGCTGAGCCCAGTCCGCCTAAGTTGGCCATCTGTGCCATACCCGTGGGACAAACATTTCTGGGGACGCAGAATGGTTGCGTTGGGACATTCTTGGTGCCCCGAGTTGGCTGGCTCAAATAAGTAGGGTTAATTGAGGGCGTTCAGCCAAAGGGAAAGCATCAAGTTACGGGGTCCGCTATTCTCACGAGCCATACCCATATGGCAGTTCAAAATGGTGCGCCCCCAATGCAAACCATCAATTTTCAGTGTACCGCTATTTGAGTATGGCTCGTCACAATAGGAATCGGACCCAACATCGGGTGGGGGTTCCTTTCAGTTTCATTTCAAAGCACCCCCAAGATGGTATCAACTAAAAAAGCACACCCCTTTTCAGGATACCTGTTTTTGAATAGGTTTTAATGATACCCTCCAAAAACAGACATGGCCCCCATGTTGCTCTACGTGCGCGCAACCGGCATGGATCCCGGGCCGAAGCTGGTGCCGAAGGCTGGGGTGCCCTCACTGGGCACCTCGCTGGATGCACCTGCAAAGCGCACCAGGCGTTTATCAAATGAGTCACAATCAAAACCCGGTACAAGAATGGTTGATCCAGCCAGAATGTGAGGAAATACAAAGGGGGCCGCAACTATTTGTGGCTGGGATTGTCCCTTACTAACCTTCATCTACCCGAGTTTTGATTGTGGCTCAAATAGGGATCGATCCCATAGCAAACCAAAAGACTGTCCATTCTCAGAACCGCCCAGGCTATGAACTTGAATAGGGAACCCCCTCAAAACTGGTTGCTGAACAAATCATATCCACGAAAGGGTCCCCAAGTAAAATTCACACCCGTATGAAGCACGGCCAAAATAACATACTTACGGTGCTTGTGTTGCTTAGTTTGTGACGCCCCTATCTTTTGTCCTGGTTCTGTGCATGATGGGCAGCATCAAAACGCAGAATACTAAACTCAACAGCGGTTATGTTGGCGGTACCTGATATGACACAATCCACTTTATGTGAGGAAGTCAAGGGATGACTAAAGCAAACTAGGCATTGTTGCCACATACCTTTCACCCAAGTGTAAGTTTGCTTCTGGCCCACATTTAGTGAACCACTTAAAATGTGAAATATGAACAAGAAATCCCGAATATGCCCAAAATAAGCTCGAGAGTCAGCATTTGGGAAACCAGGCTGAGGGGATACCTGGGATGGGCATGCGGACGTGTGAGAAACCTGCGACCCATTGGTGGTTGTTCAGAAACAAAGATGTGTCGCTTGCAGTTGGAGCGCACAAAGGAAGGCAGACCTAAACCTGCTATTTGTAGGGTCCCAAGCTGCCCCGAGGTCAAAATACCAAAACGAAGGCTGTATTTTGGATATAGAAGCCATTGGTCCATGGAAGCTGACAACGAAGGCTGGCGCCATATGGCCATGGGTCAAAATGCCGTACCCCCAGTGAACATTCCAATCCCCACTAAAATAGGTTCTAAAATGGGTGGTGCACCTACCCCAAAATGGTACCATTGGTTTTGACCCACAGCCACAACGAAGGCTGGCGCTTTGAATCTGGCCGAGTAGGCACCTCTTCAGCAAAACGAACTGCCTCTCACACGCGACGCGACCGGGCAGGGTCCCTCTGCGACTATCACGCTCTGCTTCTCGGAAAGGGAAGGGTCGAGAGAAGGAATGGAAATATGGAATGGAAAACTGAAATGGGTGCCTTTTCTTGTGGTACCACCTTTTGGTTTGCTTTATAGGGAAACCGAAAAGAAACACCCATTTTAGGGGTCCCCAAAAAAAGACACACCCACAATATGGATTGGATGGATGGGCAGGATGGGCTTCGATGCGACAGAAGGGAGTCCATGTGAGGGGATGAGTTGTAATGCCATGACAAGGGCAGACTACTCCTTAAATATCATGTGTCTCGCGTGGGAAGCGCGCGCGCGCGCGGCGAGGTCAATGGATAAATGCGTTGAACTAGTCGCAGCCTAGCCCAAGCGATTTGGTGCGTGGGCTTCAAAATCACTGAGCATGCAGGGACTGTCTCTTAACATCTCGCACCTCCCAAAAAAACGGAGTTGAACGAGCGAGTCGACGCAACCCCATGGGTTGCACCCACAAAGCGCCTGAAGGATGTGCAGGAAAGCCGAACGCATCGCCGGCGTTGAAGTCTCCGACACCGCCCATGGTACCCATGCCGCCCATGCCTCCCATGCCTTCCATGCCACCCAAGCCATCCGCTGCGCCCATGCCCTCGCCGCCCGTGGCCCCAAAGCCATCGCTGGCGGCACTGAAGTCAACGGGGACACCGGGGCCACCACCGAAGCCGGCCCCGAACTCCCCGCTGCCCACGTTCCCACCAAATCCAGCAAAGGAATTGAGGCCGAAGCTGCCGCCAAAGGCGCCTCGGGCGTGTGACTTGGAGCCAGCCCGCCCCTTTCAGGGATCTTCGAGTTGCTGCCTGTCAACACAACACTCCTGTCCATGCTGTGTGTGTTTTCGCCTTGTTAAAAGTGATTTATGTACAGTACAACATGACCATGTGCTTTTGGACTCTGTTTCAAGGGAAACCAACAAAACATCGATTCTAACCAGGCATCCCTGCATTCGACTCACACCCTCGTGAAATGCCGCTGTGCTCTTCATTCCAGGCCTTCTGCCATATTTTACCCAGTGCCACCAGGCTTTCCCTTCCTCCCTCGGCTGAGATCCTGTAGTTTTGCCTGACTTAGGCTCCAACCATATCCAACCATATCCAAATCGGTTTGGCTTTCATAGGATCCAACTCCAACCCCCCGACACCCGCCCGCCTGAGCGGTACGTGGCCCTGGCCTGCTCTGGGTCCATAGCGCCCGCGCCCGCGCCCACGCCCGCGCCCACGCCTGCGCCCACGCCCGCGCCCGGCGGCGGCGGCTGAGCCGACGGCGCCGCCCAGTCGCCTGCGCGCTACTTGGCGCATGTGTTGGTGCAATTGGTTTGCACTTTCTGTGCTTTGCTCTCGGCTCGTGGGTCTTTTATCTTGGCTTTCTGCAAACCGTTGCTCGGGATCGTCGGTGCCTGCGGACATCTGTTCGGCAATGGAGCTCTAGCGTTCCATTGAAGGGCTGGTCGCTTCTCCGCACGGCACCAGACATTTTAACTCAGTCCCATGCTGATTCACTCACAACCAGTGCTGCAGACTCAATGATTCCAATTGTGGTGCCGGCTCGGGTTGACGACTCACACTTGCTGATTGTTTTGCCACGAGTTCGCGCCTTCTGGACAAGAAATAAGGCTTCAATGTGTGTCCTTCTGCACCTCCGATGTACTGCCCCCTTCTTCACTTGCTGAAACTAGTTCTAATTTGCTTGAGCGGATCGGGTTATACTGCCAAGTGCTTGGGGCCACTTCTCCACAAACTTCTTCGCCGCTATCGGCATCTCAACTGCTCTCTCCCCCGAATTGCCCAATTGACAGCCATTGTTCAGCAAGAACCCGTACTGAACGAGGATGGTTTCAGCAAAACCAACGAGGTCTCAAAATAGACTCTGAGCCACAAGTCCATGCCCTCTGCAAAAGGATTCCTCAGCATTGCCAAACCATCGACTCTGAGTGCCCCCCCCCGTTTGGACATTTACAGGACCGAAAGAATGAAGATGGTTTCAACATGGCCATGGGGCATCATCTATGGCTGCATTTTGGGGTGGATGAACATCCATTTGCCACCTATTTTGATGTTCACCAGGGGTACAGGGTTTTGACCCACAGCCAAATAGACTCTGAGTATCCACCACCTCAGCCCCAAAGGCCCCAAAAGTCCGCCCTGCCTCCGAAGGAGCTCTGCTCAAAGGCGCCCTTCTCCTGGGTCTTGCGGCGCCTGCGGCGGCGCTCTGAAGACAGCTCCGCCACGTCGGAGTCCGGGGGACTCGCGGCACGGCTGTGGGATGCCTGGCGTGGGAGGAAGTTTAGAAGGAACTTCCGTGTTGCGGATACTACTTGAAGGTAGCTTGCGCAAAGACGAGATACGAAGTGTTCGTTTAAAATGCTCGCACCCTGTTGTTGATGCAGGAATTGGAGCTAGCCAAGCAGCTCCTATTCATGCATCAACAATAACAGGGATTCGAGCCACAATCAAACCCGGTATTGAAATGGACACAGAACCATGCTTCAAGAATTAAGAAGGCGGATATCAGCCATTTATGGCGGGGATTGGCCCTTACTAACCTTCATCTACCCGGGTTTTGAGCACGTGGCTCACCTGTTGCGCGTTTTCGCGGAAGGACTCCGATTCCCACACGGCGATTCCTCTCATTGGCTAGGAGACAGCCTGAGGGGGTGCAACCAGTCTTGCAATGAAGCCAGGGTGATGCAAAATTGATGACGTGGCATACGCGATCATTTCGCCAGATCAAAGCAGTCCCTTCGTGAGTTCTCGTGTCTGGGCTGTCCTCAGATCCCCCGCTAACAGTTCAACTTTTGGTGGGTTAAATGGAAATCCCCACTAAGCACTAAAAGGCTCAAAAGCTGAGGGGATGGATGGGAGCCAGTCTTGCCTTCTCGTACCTCTTACGTCCCTTCCCTTGTCATTCTTGGCCTTCCGACAACGCGAGGCGCGGGTAACGTTCCACGCGCCTCCGTGGACACGGACGGAGGCGGCGAGTCGATGCGGCTCTGCATCTCTGCGTAGCGGTGGGACACCTCCACAGAGCAGCTGGGAACATACTGGGGATGGACGGAATCCTGCACCACCTAAGAAACCCTAGAATGATGATTTCCCTGTGAATGCCAACAACCACGGGTTTTTCATTGTTCCAAAGTGGTGCAGGATTTCGTCCATCCACAGTAGGTGTCCTTTTTGGGAAAATAGATGGGTCTCCCTGGTAGTTGATTAAACCACCACGTCAACCAGGAATCGCCCTCTATTTTTCAACCAAATCACAAAAGGACACCTATGGCTGGGAATGGGATTTTTGTTAATGTCGAACAACCATTTTCTTGCTGGTGCTCAGCAGGGAATGAGACATGGAATGACCCCCATAAACCATCCCTTGTGGTTTCCTTTGAAAGAATCCCCAGGTTCATTCCCTCATTCCCTGCTGACGAGCAAGTTTTTTGGGAGGGGAAAACAAAAACCTTTTTGAACAGCTTCCTTTGTTAAATCTGTTCGCAGGCATTGGAGAGTGGTTGGTTTGCCCAGGTTCTCAACACATGGCCCGGGGAAACAAACCCGTGGCTGGGATAGCCGGCGCGTGCCGCTTGCAACAGGCGAACCTGTCGGCAAGCTTTGGCCCCGGATGAAAGGCCGAGGTCCTCATGTGGTTCTGGTCCCCTTGCCAGATTCGCGATCCCCCGGCCCCGCAACGCTTGGCAAGTTTAGTTGTCTTTTTCGCTTCGGCTGATGCCCCTCGTGCCCTGAGGGTTCTTGAACGTGCATTGAAGTACACTGGGCAAGGCCACTAACATGTTGCCAGTGACCTTTATCTGGCAACGCGAACAGCTCGGAAAGACATTGACGTTTGGGACACGCCCTGCAACCGAGAGAAGCAGGGGTGAAACCTTCCTTGCAAATGGCAGATTGGGTGTTGAAAGTGGCTGCTCGGGTACTCAGACCTCAACTACCTCACCAGGCTTTCACTTTTGACCTCCTTTTCGGTCGAAGATCAATGGACCTCCTCAAAGTGCCTCAAATCCTAGTCGGAAATTCTCAAGACCCCCCAAATCCCCCTCCCCCCCCTCTTTCCCCCTTACCCCCTCCAAAAATTGTCTGCCAGCCCCAAAGAACCTTGGCCCCCCAAACCCCCCTTGGCCATCCACTCACCCCCCCCCCTCCCCCCCCCTCCGCTTCCCCTCCGCTTCTCCTCGACACATCCGGCTCGCCTCGGAGAGCCGCTCGAAGGCCTCGAAGTCGTTCCGCTCCACGGCCTCCTCGGCGGCGCGCTGCCAGGACGCCAAGGTGGACTCAAACGTCGCCTGCGGCGAGCCCCAGGCGGATTCGCGCGGATGGGCGGATGCGCGCGAAAGCCGCACACTGATATGTTTTTTCTGGATGGGAGGCGAAGAAATTGGGAAGGAAAACAGCCACTAAAGGAGTTGCAAGAGGCAAAGCCAAAGAGAGGTAAGACCAGAGAATACCAAATAGGACCAAATGGGCGTGTCTGTTTTGAAACTGACAAACAAGAAAAGATCAAAGAAGAAAAAAGCCTACCATTTGTGAGGCTAACAAGACAAAAATTCAAAGAAGGAAGAAGAAATGCAACAGCTTCCATTTCCACGGGGGGTCCCATTTTGAGCCCCAAAAACCCCCACCGCCGAACCGCCCCACCGCCCCCCCCCCCCCCCCCCCCCCGGCCCCCCCGGCCTTGGCCTCCGCCGCCTCCGGCGCCTCGGCGCCGAAGCGGGCGGTGGCCTCCTGCAAGCCCTGCAGCGCAGCCTGCAGCTGCGCCTCCGACATCTCGGGCCTCGGCGGCAGGGGATGGGACTCGGGACTCCCAACTCTCAGAACTCCCAACTTTGGGACTTTTTGGTGGCGGAAGGCGGCCACTTGGTCAAGAAAGGAGGCCAGAATTAGTGGAACTTGCAACCAAAAAAACAAAACAAAAAAAGGTTTTTGGGCTGCAAATAGATGGGTTTCCCCGTGAATGCCAACAATCAAGGGTTTTTCATTGTTCCAAAGTGGTGCGAACCTTGTAGGGTTTCCCATAGCTTCAAAGTGGTGCGAACGGATTTCGCAATCATCCACAGCAGGTGTCCTTTTTGGTTGAGAATAGATGGGTTTCCCTGGTAGATGAGGAAAAACCACCACGTAAACCTCGCAAGGATGGGACGGAATCCATTTCGCACCACCCAAGAAACCCTAGAATGGTTTCCCTGTGAATGCCAACAAACAAGGGTTTCCCATAGCTTCAAAGTGGTGCGAACGGATTTCGCAACCATCCACAGTAGGTGTCCTTTTTGGTTGAAAATAGATGCGTTTCCATGGTAGATGAGGAAAAACAACCAGGTAAACCTCGCAAGGATGGGACGGAATCCATTTCGCACCACCCAAGAAACCCTAGAATGGTTTCCCTGTGAATGCCAACAAACAAGGGTTTCCCATAGCTTCAAAGTGGTGCGAACGGATTTCGCAACCATCCACAGTAGGTGTCCTTTTTGGTTGAAAATAGATCTATTTTCAACCAAAAAGGACACCTACTGTGGATGGACGAAATCCGTTCGCACCACTTTGAAGCTATGGGAAACCATTGTCTGTTGGTATTTGCAGAGGAATCATCATTCCAGGGTTTCCTGGGTGGTGCAGGATTTCGTCCATCGACAGTAGGACCCTTTGGAGGGCCCAAAGTGCACCCAAGGAGCAAGTCCTTTTTTGAAACTTTTTTTGGGGAGGGCCTTTTTGGGATGAGAAAAGTGGCAGTGTCCTTTTTGGAGTTAGTAGTCCTTTCTTCCTGCCACCTTCTCCTGCCAACTTGTTTGGGTGTTACTTCACTCTACTAAGAACACATGCTAACATCAGTATCCCAAATACACGAACAATGATTCCCAGGTGAGTTATCAGGCGTTCCTTCCCTATCCTGAAAGCACAAGCTGACATGTTTCTTGCCACATTCTCTTCTCAAATATTGATTCTTGAATCTTGATTCTTGATTATTGATTCTTCTTCTTCTTCTTCTTCTTCTTCTTCTTCTTCTTCTTCTTCTTCTGCTTCTTCTGCTTCTTCTTCTTCTGCTTCTTCTGCTTCTTCTTCTTCTTCGTTTTCTGCGGCGGGTATTCCCGGCGGGAGCCCCTCTGCGTGGATTGGGGTGGTCGATGTTCAAGAGTTGCAACTGGAGAAGAGTACTTGGCTTAATTACTACTTTCGCACTTGAAAGTCGCCAGCTTCAAGCCGGAGCTTTGCAAAATCGCAAGACGCAGCGAGAGCACTGCGACGTCTCAGCGATCCGTGCAGAAAGCTCGCCGACTTTGCAAATTCGGGCGCCACAGCGAGACCACTTCGACAGACACCTTCCTTGCAGCTTACAGGGGGCTCATCCAGCACTTTGAAAGTTCGCACGGCGCCACAGCGAGAGCGCGCGCAATCTGGGCAGAGGGTTGCCGAGGACAAGGAATTTCCAACATCGAGAGATTCGACCCGGAAAAGTTGCAAAACACGCACGTCTTTGCACATCGACCGCGCCGATGCTCGCAGGGTTCGCTGAGACCAAGACATCATTGCAACTCACATCGACCACGGCGATCCACGCAGAGGGGTGGCTCCCGTCGGGTCTACTCGCCGCAGAAAACGAAGAAAAGGAATCAAGATTCGAGAAGAGAATGTGGAAGCTACATGTAAGCTTGCGTTTTCAGGATAGCGAAGTAACGCCCGAGAAGTCACCTGGCAATTGTTGCTTGTGTACTTGGGATACTGATGTTAGCATGTCAAGTTGGCAGCAGAAATTTGCAGCTGTTTTTAGCAGAAGAACCCTGAGCATGCTTCCGGGCAAAACCAAAGGATAACCACCCATTTTGGGGGGGGGGGGGGCCACATTTCCAAGCGTTTGGGGAGAACTGGTGTAACTTTGCCGTCTAACTGCTAAGCAAAGAGAGGCTATTTGAACAACTGCGGTTTACTCTCAGAAGGGAAAAATGAGGCCCGTGGGCACTTAGAGTACAATGTTGCAGGCCCAAACCCAACAAAACCCATCCTCTAAAAATTGTGCTTGCAAAATAGACACCAAGTGTCCAAAATATGACGAGGGTGTGTTCTCACTTTTGACTGGCATGCTCAGGTGGGGACAGCTTTGGAGGTGTCCAACTTGTTTTAACACAGCCAAACTTTTTCCCTTGGTCGGGTCGAAGCGGAAAGCCGAGAACGAAGAAACGAACAGGGCCACTGGTTCGCCCCCTTCCACGCCTCTCCCCGGCGGTGGCCGAGGCCGGCCGCATGTTGAAGGCGCTGGCAGTGGCGGAGGCTGGGGTCAGCGTGAGGTGGCGGTAGTCCCGGGGATCTGGGAAACGCACCTGCTCCTAGGGCTCTTAGGGATGGAAAATCGGCTTTGGCCATATCCCTGCTTGTTCCTTGGAAATACGAAAGCAAGATGCTGGTAATCGTCTTTCCATGCTCCGGCCGAATTACCCACTCCAGTCCTGAACGCATGCGAAGACCCTGCAGGGGACGAGGGAATGCCCCAACCGTCCCTTGCGAGAGAATCCCGAACGGGTTCTTGGCGATTCCGTGCGAGAAAAAAAACAAAAAACAAGACAGCTCCCGGCACCCGCCCAACCCCGGGCCATCCCGGGCCATCCTTCATGAGGTCCTTTCGGGCGGCCGCGATCTGCGCGCCGCCCCCGTGGCCGGGGTTCGCCTCGAAGTGGCGGCCCCACCTGTCGAGCAGCTCCAGCGTCGCCTGGCTGCGCGCCACTTCGGAGTTTGAGGCTAACCCAAAACGTGCATGTTTCCAACTGACATGGTCAACATGGTCAACAGAAATGTAGGTGCTTTGTCGGAGATCCGCCCGAAAGCCGAAAGCCCAGCATCTTCTCACACACCAGATGCAGCTTTCAAAGGGCACAGAGGGCGTCGGCTCGCCAGAGCTGCGACCGGAGTCCGAGGAGTCCGGACGCGTCCGGACGCCTGAAGCATCGCGTCGATGTCCTCCGCCGAGGCTTTGCTCGAGAAGACCGTGGAAGGGCGCCCTGTCACGGTCCGGTCCCATCCAGGCCCCTTCGCACAGGGATCCGGATGCATTGTACACCTGAACACAACTTGTAAATGGTGGTTTCCCTGTATTTTGGTGGCAAAAGCCATGTCTCAAATGGGCAACATGTATCTTTTAAGGAGCCCTGTCCAAGTACAGGCCCCTTCTATGACCACAGGGAAAGCAAGATCAAGCAAGATTCAACAGCATCACTCCGTGGACTGCCCACATCGACAACCTACTCCGTGCAAACACTACCCTCACTCTCCCGTCTATGATGCTGAAAGCTGAGGCCACGTCTCTTTCGCTTCTCCTTCTCCTGAGAATTTGAACACAGATCTGAGGATGCAAGCCAAGCACCGCAATGCTTGAAACACCACGTAAGAGAACCGCATAGTTCCCATACTTTCCTTGAGGATCCTTCTATTGGTGGTTTGAACTCCTTACACATGTGCGGTAATATCCGAGATACTGCCGCTGGGTCGGGCTCGGTTCAAATGGAGCCCGCAGGACTGAGCATGAACCATGCTGGAATCAACATCTGCATGCGTCTCAGCGCATGGGGGGGGGGGCGGGGGTCGAAACGTTTTGTGGAAATTGAGACGGACACCGTATGGTTCCCAGCTTCTCGAGCAAAATGGCAATTGGGCGGTGCATCAAAACAAACATTGGAGGATCAAACAACTACACCCGGCACGAAAAACATATAGAGGGAATCAAACCAAATGTCCAAAGGGTCGTTTTAGGGTGGATTTAGACATGATCAGATAGATTAAGCACTGGCTAATCGGTGTTTGATCGCCGAAGTCATACTGTGTTTTCCCGCATGTTTCTTGATGTTCATGCTGGCTTCCCTCTCTGCTCATGAGCAACACCTTCGGCCCAGACATGCCCAGGCCCAGCGACGTCTCAAACAAGAAAGGGACCCAGGGTTCATCTGTCCCTTCAGCACTTGAGGCCAGCACAGGGGAGCTTCCATCAAGCGCTCAAGAGTCCCTCCAGCAGGGCTTTTGATGGAGGTCACACCCCGAAACTCCATGGCCCAGCTGGGCAGTGGGCAAAAAAAAGCGTCCACGTCGAACTTTGGCCTGTTGGAAGCTCAGGTCTTGCGGAGGGTGGTCCAGTTGATGGCTCTTTGTAGAAGAGTCTATGAATCTACTTGGGGGTGGCAAGCTAAGGAGTGGCAGATTCCGCCCGTAGTGTCTCCATCAAACAACTTCCCATCAACCTATGTGGTGCCAAAATGTTTGACCTGCTAGTTGTTGAACATCTTCATGTGTGCGGTTGTCAAAATTGTATACCGCTGTTAGGCCCCTGTTGAAGGTGGGCCAATGTGAAACCAAGCCTCCAACAAGCGCCGCCATCTTGACAATCGCCCATTTAGGTTTCCTGTTCACAGGGAGCGACCCTGGCTCAAATGCCTCTGAATTGAAGCAAGCCATTTGGGGACCCCATTTTGGAAACGCCCAACCCTTTTGCACGTTTCCAGAATAGGGAGACAAAAAACTGGCTGGTGTCCCGCTGGGCTCCATATAGATCCCATACGCAGGGCTGTCAATTTTAGGAGTGGAGGTCGAAAAACATCGGGCGACCCCACTCCTTGGTCTTCTTCGCAAGGCTCGCGAAGAACTTCAGCTCCCTCGCCACTGCGTCCGCCAAAATGCCCTGCTTCACCTCCATGAGGTAGTCCAGCACCTCAAACCAAAGAAAAGGACCCCGTTCTGGAGCTGAAGCACCCCAGAAAAGCCATCATACATGTGCCGGGTAGGGAGCCCAATATGGGTTTGCTTCCTTTTTTCCTTGCAAAGCTGGCGGGGTGCGCGTTCTTTTTCTGAGGCTCGGTTCTCTTGAGGCGACTTTGACGGGAAACCAACGAGGAAAGCAGGGGTCGCGCTGCTTTGATGCCAAACCACCCACAACCCTGAAGACTCCAGGGCTTCCCTCCGGTCAGCTGGTGACTCCAGGGCTTGCTTCCTGAAACCTCACAGGCCACCTTTTGCGCACATGGAGAAAAGCGCGGGCCATCTGAACACAGTCCCAAGCATCGAACCCTCCACTATTCGATTGGCTGGGGCCGTTTTGGGTTCAATCTTCGTAGTGATGCCACTTTCCCCATTTGATGCTGAGGATGAATCAGTCGGGATTTGCCCTGGGCCTATTGCACCCCCAGCAAAGAAATGCCTAACGAGCTGCTCACGTCGGCTCGAACACTCGCAGCTCTCTGCGTCTTACACAACCCGCGCAACCCTGAAAACTCTGGAAACTGGGCTGGACTAGACCGTTGCTGGCTAAAAGAATGGAGGAAAACCAAAACGGACACCAAGCCAAAAAGGTCAGCCGTGGCAATTGAAGCTGGTCCATATCGCGGAGCGCTGGCTCTCCAATCGCTCCAAACCGCATGGCCCGCGCCTTCATGACTGCCAGCTTCGCGTTGATGCCCTCATTCCTCAGCAAGGGCTTGGCTGCCTCAACCCCCTTACCACGCAGCATCTTTTGAAAACACAGGTTTTGGTTCGATCACTCTTGGCAAGGCAAAATCGGAATCTGGGATGTTGATGATGAGTCTTTCATCTGGACGACTTCTTCTCGAAACAGATTCTATTTTGCGAATCTTGCGCGTGCATTCCGACATTGAAATTCCCCGTTGTGGTGCTTGTCTTTTTCATCCTTTTCCGTTGGGGTTTACAAGAACCTACAAATTGAGTAGAATTTCACCCCCCCCCCCCCCCCCCGGCCCCCGAAAGCCGTAGCCTGTGCAGAAATTTGTTGTCATGGGTATATGGCCTTGAGCCGTGGCGATCAAACACAGGCCACAACGAGACACTGCACAGATTTGGCCTTGGCGTTGCTTTCTAATGAGCCTTGTTTTCCAGTATGATCAATCGACAACCAGCTGTCTGCAATTGTCTGCGTGGCCAACAGTTGAAACTCCACTCCACCAAACTCCGGCTCATAAAACAGAGACCCGGCTTAGGTACCAGAAACCACCCCCCCCCATGCCCCCCGCCAAAACCTCCCCCGCCTCGACCCCTGGGGGGTCGCGAGTCTTGCCGAGCCGCTGGTCCTTGATGACACGAAGGCAACGGCTCAACGTCGCGTTGCCTGCGCCGTGCCGCGCCAGGTCGTAGAGCCTTGCCGCGGCCAGTGCGCGTGCGTGCAATGGGCAAAAAATTCCCCAAACGCACCGGGGTCAAAATTAAACCACCGGTACCACAGGTGTTGGTCCATGTTGCCACCTTACCAGGGTTCCATTTTGGGTACCTATTTTTGACCCACAGCCACATGGTGGGGCAGAGTTATGGTTCCATTAGGAGCCCGAATAGTTGCCTAAAGTAAGGGGTGTTCGACCATTGTATACTTGAAAGCCCAGAGAAGACGATTCCGCGAGAATCGAGGAGAAGAAAAAGCGACTTTCAACTCAAGTCAGCCACGGCTGGTCAAGCCAAATTGATGAGCGATGGGGCCCATGTTCACCCTTTCCCAACACACATATTATGTACACATACATACATATATATATATATATATCAGCAACTATGTATATATGTATGTATATATATATATATATTAATATGGGGGGTTCTGGCCCCCAACTGACCATGAACAACTTTTCCTATTGAGTGGGACATATATCATCTTTTTAGTGGCTTTCCCCAATGGTCATCCCATTTGATAAGTATACCGCTAATGTTCAACCCCCATTACGAAAGGTTCACCCGACTTGGATGACCTATGAATCCCCATGGCATAGTAATTTGGATGATGACATTTTTTTAGGAAGACACTGGTGGTTCTATGAGGTGCTGTGGGTCAAAACCCCGTGCCCCCAGTGAACATCCCAATCCCCACTACAATAAATCCTAAGATGGGTGGTGCACTGAAAATCCCAAACTGGGATCCCAAAACGGTTTTGACCAGCCATATGAACCGACACTAGTTAAATGAACCCCCATGGTATGGTTACTTGGATGATGACAATCGTTTTAAGGGAAAAAAAAGAGGTAGGGGCAAAACGCGGGTTTTGGTCCATGTTTCCACTTACCAGGGCAAGCCATTTTGGTACCGGTGTTTTGAGCCACAGCCTTTGAGTATGGTAATTTGGATGATGACAATCTTTGAGGAGAAAAGGGGGATGACCATTTCTTAGGAAGACACTGGTGGTTCTATGAACCCAACCACTGGTCTCACGGTGGCCGCCGACCCCCAGGCGGTCTTACCCATCGACCCAACGCAAGCGCCCGATCGCCCCTATCGCCTCAGCAGCTCCGAGCGCGTGGACTCCGAGTCCAGCAACGAGGGGCTCTGGGCGATGTCCTGAACTCCGGGAAAAGTCGCCAGGACCAAAAGCGGCTCTTGACCCGTAGTAATTGTGAGATATGATATATTTATTAATCAAGACATTCATTAATTAAACTATTTGTGAACTTTGACCCGTAGTATTGATCTGTTAATTAATCGAGAAATAATTATGCGTTGGCACTTGATAAACGAAAGATATGATGTTTTGATTGTTATCCCATTCACTTACCCGTAGATATTGAGGTTTACAGACCCGTGATTTGTTAGTTGATTGAGAAATATGATTTGGCACTTGATGAACAGAAAGGAAACTGTGCTGTTCAAAGTGGTTCCTGTTGGCCAATCCGATGTTCCATCCCTATGAAGAAGCCACTAGAAAGGGGACCCCGGATTACCTTTGAACAGCCCAGAGTCCTGGACACGCCAAACACCCCCTTTTTTTCTACCTTTGAAAGGCATCAAAAAGGGGCAGAAAAAAAGGGGTGTAAAGGGGCCAGGGTATTATGAAATATGATGTGGTACCTGATTAGAGAAAAAAAAGAAAACGACAAAAAAACGGAAGGACAAGAATATCGGGCGCCCAAGTCTGGCAACCCAGATTGTGCGACCGAAATCCTTTTTGGGCCTGCAAACCCAACAACCCCCAAGGTGAAGGCCGAACACCTGCCGCCCAAGTTTGGAAGCCCGCTTTTTACGCAACCCTGGGGGCCACTGGGCGAGCCAAGAATACACCTGCCTGGAGGGTCCTGCGTGAGCCAATTACAACGAAAATGGGTGCTGTTGGGTTCCACACGGATTGACAAAAACAAACTCATCTTTGCAAGCCATCCTGACGACTCCATGTTGGCCTGAAAAGTTATCTTCCGGGAAGATGTCCTCAAACTGGCAACCTGTAGCGCCAACATGCTGGAGGCTTCCTTGCAATATAGCTATTTCCGACGTCGATCCCTTGTTCTTCTGTATGCTTTTGCAAGGAATATTGTTTGGTTGATTGCAGCAAAGATGGCTTTCAGGAAACCAGCACGGTCAAACCGCTGATATCGCAGGCAAACTACGAGGACACGTCCTCCCACTAATAGCAAGGTTGGCCCGTTGCAGCCCGATGTAAAACACAGCTTCAACCACCACAGTTTCTAGGCTCCCTGCATGGGAGCAGAACCTTGTGGGCCTGCTGTTTTGTCTTGGCTGTTGAAAGGGAAATCAAAGAATGCCGAAAACCGCCTTCTAGATGGTGCAAATTTGAGAACTGATTCCTTCAGCCTCAACCCCAATGCGCAAAATTCCTACCCTGACGATCTAGTTTCCCGCAACAGTGGCTGGTTGAATGGGCAAATGACGAAAGCCTCCGACAACAGACGGCGTGTTGGACATAAGCAGGGTTGTGGAATCAAGGGGTTTATTCCCACTTCTGTGATACAAGGGAATCTCCCCCTTTATATGGGGTGTTAGTCTTTGGGAAGCCCTTTTTGTTGTATCACAGAAGTGGTCATTTCCCACAACCCTGGACATAAGACTCTTTATCTGTTACCCCTCCCAGGGGCACGGTTTGAGACTATTGCGGGGGGGGGGGGTGGTGGCCACGTACCACGCAGTGATTCCAGCTTCTGGTGGCTGTGCGGGAAACAGTTGAGGATCGTTTCCCCCTTCTCCCTTCCCCCCACCTAAGATCTTTCCCCCCCTATCTTTTCCTTTGCCCTCCTTCAGTTCCCCAAAATCTGTTTTCCCCCCTTTCCCCCCTCAAGATCTTTATTTCCCTTCACTTTCCTTCACTTCCCTTCATGTCCCTTTGTGTCCGTTTCTTTTCCTTTTCCTTCATTTCACTTCATGTCATTCATTCCCAAGCATTTTCCTTCATTTCCAGATTTTCCTTCACCAGCATGGGCAACATCCCCAGCATCGCTTGCATCATCCGCATCCTTGGCAGGCGCTGATGCGGATGATGCAGGTCATGCTGGCGATGTTGCCCAGGAGATGCTAAGGATGCAAAAACGGACCCAGAGAAAATCGAACACCCCAATGTTTTTACGGGGGGGAGGATGGATCCCACGTGGGAAAAGATCTTAGGAAGAGGGGAAAAAAAGAGCTTGGAGAAACGATCTAGGGAAGGGTGGGAAAAGATCGTAGGGGGGAAGGGGAAAAGGGGGGCAAAGATCTTGTTGCGGGGGTCTTCTCCCCGAACGGAGGGAACCGATACCTTGTGGTAGTACAAAATCTTTACGTGGTGGCGCTGGATCTATTCCGAAGAGTTCCAAGTGTCAATACTGATGGATTGATACTGCTGGATTGATACTGATGGATTGATACTGGATAAGTGCTGGTAAACTGTGTGTTGCGGTTTATCCTGAAAGTGGTCCTCTAGCTTGAGCCAAAATCAGAAAACAAACGCAAAACAAGCACAAATTTCTTTTGATCTCCAGCACTGAATTACTATTCGCTTATTGGCCTTCGACCCGTAGCCATGAATGTGTCAGGGACAGACAACCTTTCTATCTTGTCAGAATTAAAATACTGTGTTGATCCCTTTTTGGCGCGGATGAAATGTCTTTGTTGGCAAAAGGAAAAGAAAACTCTCTGTACTCATTGCGGATACCTATTTGTATCAAAAGATGATGTACAATGCTATGTACATGCAGGATCATTGTGAAACTATTGACCTCTCACAGAATAATCTTGCTGATGGTGAGGATCAATTGGTTGTCATTCGTGGTGCTTTTCTCGCGTGATTTCTTTTTCGAGCTTCTCAAATCTTTTCATCGCTTCCACGGATGGTTGCTTGTTTCCGATTGGCTGTAGTGGTCATAGTCGTACCAAGTCGAGGAGCTATAGCCTTTCCATCCAGGTTGATCGTAGCCGGAAGCTTTGTTGTATCTCCAGCTTCCCCAGGTATTCTCCTTCCTCTTCTGATTGTACTCCTTGGCTCTCCGGGTGTCTTGTTCTTTGCGCTCGGATCGGCTTCGAATGTAAACCATGTGTGGATCTGCGTGGGCCACTCAATAACATCTCGTTGGTGATCCCATACCTGCTGACACAGTGCGCCAAATCAGAATGGCGAGGTTCCCTGCCGGCGTCCCTCTATAACAACCAGAAAACAACGACCATCAAGTTTCGTGCCCATG